GACATCGTACAACGATATCTCTAGATTCTTCTTCTACTAGCTAGCTAGCATTTAACCGTTATGTGCAGTGTAAAAACCATTAGTCATTTCATATTATAAATTACATAAATTGAACCGTTAACCATTTTGTATTAAATTATATATGTAATATGAAATTTTGGATGATCGATGAAGGTAGTAAGTAAGTAGAATTGGGATTTGGGAACCGTTGTGACTTCGCTTTCAGCATGGCACATGCACGTTGCGTAAAGTCAGTGATCAAAATTTCAAAGCTCAAACGGCAAAATGATCATCTGGTCAGATACAATATATATATACATATATATATATATATTAGAATGTTACGTTATTGCTGCTATATCCAGTAAAATATATATATATATATATAATATAATATTAACTGAGTGTCTTGTAATTTTAATTCCCAGGGTGTTACTCATAAAGTATCTTCTTATTATTGAAACACATGCGAAGAGAATTCCTATGCCTTCCTGGGATACTCAAATATTTCTTGTTAAGTATTGGCTTCAAGAAAGCGAGGATATAAGAAAGACACACACCTCCTAGCTCATTTATTTGTTTTGGTTTGAATTTTCATTTTATTTCTTAATATAAGTATGTTATCTTTCAAAATTTAAGATATACTCTTTGTGTTATAAATTCAGGAGCTAGATATATATTAAAAAAAATAGTTTAATTATTTGTAATAAATATATATATTTTTTTTAAAAAAAAATATCATATTCAATCGTCAGTCACATTGATAGTATCATCTTTAATATATTCAATCAATAAGAAAAGTTTTAAAGCTAAGTTCCCAAATAACTCTTATATTTAAACCAAATGAAGTGATTGTCACTTGTCTTTAATAATGGAGGAGGATAATATTTAAAATCATGTAGCATTAATTGAAGGATAAAACTGAAATAAAAAATTATTCTCACATAATGCATAAATTTTGCTTCCCGTTTTTTTTTTTTTTGGTGTCTGTGCTTTGGGGTAAGTAAATAGAGATTGGGGAAATATATCAAAAGAGTGTTAAGATTAACAGAAAAAGACAAAAGAGAAACCAAACACATGATGAGCATCTTTACCAACGACGTTTAGAAAAAGATTAAAGAAGGCTTATGATTTCTGGAATCTGATGCAAATATTAATAATGTTTTAACGAATCCAAGATAAGGCAGATGTTGATGCTTCATTTCATCATCACCCCTTCTTACTATTAATTACTGCTCTAATCATCCAGCGTTTCATAAATTCATCTGATGAAAAAGCATAAATTACTACTCGATTCCTTCTTCTTTTTTTAACTATTATACTTTTGAAAACAATTATTTAAATGTCACTCTTTTATAATTCTAAAGAAGATTAGTCACAATTTTTTTTATATATTATTATTTTTACTAACATGAAAAATCTAAGACATTATCATTAAGTATTAATATAAACTATAAAAATTTTAATTACGAAATTTAAATAGAATTCTAACATATTAATTAAATTTGCTAGTGAATCTATATGGGAAAGCATTAGACAATCGGAAAAAAATGAGTAAAAAATAACTTAGATTGGCATGAATTGGAGTAGGTCTCATCCCTTAAGCAATTGGTTGAGAGCTCGAATCCTAACTTTTATGTAAAAGTAATTAAACCTAATTAATAGGAGACTAAATTTTCATTTAAAAACGAAGCAGGGTAGTGTTTTAAACATGGTATGAAAACCCAACCAAACCGATTAGGTCAGCCAAAAACCCAATAACCCAACTCCATGACCGGTCTAATTAAAAAGTGGGTAGTATATTTCAGGGTTAAAGTGTATCTAGTACTTTGAAGTATTTTCTCAGATGTATCTAATACTCTAAAATATTTTGTAATGTGTTCAGTATCTTGAAGTTTTTTTTTTAGGTAAGTCTAGCACCGTGAAGCATTTTTGTGTGTGTATTTAACACCTTAAAATATTTTTTACGTGCGTTCAGCACCCAAAAATATTTTTTTGTACATCGAGCACTAAGACCAAAAAAAAAAGATGTACAAGGCAAAAAAAAATACTTTAAAGTGCTGAATATACTTAAAAAATATTTTAGAACGCTAGATGCACTTGAAAAAATATTTTAAAATATTGGATGTCAAGTTTAAACATGGTATGAAAACTCAAACCAAATGGGGATAGCCCAAATCCGATATTCTAACCACTTGACCAGTCTAGGTAATGTTAGCTTTGTCAAAAAGTGATCTAAACTATCTCAATTTAACCTGAGGTAATAACCTGTTGGGTTGGGGGTTACTCGAGTTAATTTTTCTAGCTTGCAAGCAGTCAAAAAGTTGTCCTACCTCTTTAATTAAATAAATTTTTAATTTTATTTAAACTATATATGTTTTTTAAAATATCACTAGTATGACCTTAAATTGACTCCAATTTAAATCATTAAACCTTAACCCATCACCTAATGATTATGGAATAATTCTTGGATAACAAGATTATTTGAACAGTAAAGTTGAGATATCAACCCAAGATATTTTTTTAGCGTGTATTTTCAGATTCTCACTTCTGAAAATAAAAGAAATTATAATAATTATCTTACAGTTAATCTGAAAGCAAATTAATGGTTTAGTTTATATTCGGATGGATACCAACCATATAGAATAATAACCTGGAGAAGAATAATCTATTTAGAGTAAATTATTAGTTAAGATCTTTTTTTTTTTTGGGTTCTTTTCAAGACTCTTTATTGTTATTTCTTTGTCCCATCCAATCAAAGGTGCCAGTTTGAGGATGAATAAAATGTAAATATATATGTTATTGATTAAAATTATATCCTATAGTTTTGGCTAAGAATATACTAAAATGTAGCCTTAGTCCTTAAAAAGACCACTTCTCTTTCAAACTAATTATCTAAATATAAAATAAACCACTCAATTGAATCTTGAAAGCGATTGAAATAATTTTGCCTACTTTTTCAAAATCCACCAAGTGAAATAAGATGTTAGAAATGAGGATAAATGATATCATTTAAGACAAAGTGACAACTACACTTCAACTAATAATCACATGAACTCTTACTTGTATTGTCCTATTTAATTAGATGCTAATTCTTTTTATCAAAGATGAAGACCTCTGATTTATTCTGAAGAAAATTGATTAAAAAAATCCCAATTGCAAAATTTATTACTCAAATGTAATTAAAATTTGTTTAAAAGACTCAAGATTTAACCTATTTTCAATAGATGCACCTCTTTTTCAGCTCTATGCAAAACAAAAGATATTTATATATGGATGAAAATAAATGTACACGGCTGAAGAATTCAATCTCCTAGGTGGGGAAAAGAATTTTGCAATGGATTCTTCATTTTCTCAACAAAAGTAAAAAAAAAAAAAAAGAATTCAATCACCAAGGTGGGGAAAAGAATTTTGCAATGGATTCTTCATTTTTCAAAAAACAAAAAAAAGAATTCAATCTCCTAGGTGGGGAAAAGCGAACAATGAAAGGCAGCAATAGTTTGTCCAATAAGTTTGTCCAATCAGAAGCATATGTGTGTGTGTTGCGCATTGTTCACAATCACATCTCAGCCCCCTCACTCAATCATTTGTGGTTCACTACTTTTTTCGTTTGTTTGTTCGGCTTATCAACTGTACTTCACTATTCACTTTCAGGTAGAGTGAAAAGTCTATTTCTTTATCCAAAAGAAAAATACGAGTGAAATCTATTTTTTACACCAATTTTGTGATAAATGGAATGCTTATTATAGAGCATCATTGGCTTGTGGGTTATACAATGTATTTTAATTAGATGTTGGCTTATATGTGTATGATCTCATTTGGATTTATATATTTTTTTTAAAAAAAAAAAGTATTTCCAATATTAATATAAACAAATTACTACCTTCTATACAAACGAGATTTATAATTAAACCGAAGGTGGTAATAACTATCTATGTACTATGTTATTTCACTTTATCCTATTTTTAGTATGGCCACGATAAGTTTATATTTCTTTAACAAAAGAGAGAGTGCGAATTAACATATATAGATTCTAATTCTAAACTTAATTTTTTTGGGTATTGAATTTCTCAATTAACTTTATTATACATCCAAAAATTAAAAATCAAATTCACAATTTTTTTAAGAAGCAAGAACCATTGCCCATATGCTTAGCCTGAGTCGGTTCATTTTCAAATTTTAACCAAACATTGAATGATTACTTTTGACTAGATCATCATCTTGGGGTAATTTAATAACAAATGATTATCCATAATTTATCAAATTAAGTAAACTTTTCCTCTATGATGATGTGCTTAGAATAAAATTAACATAACCCACAAAATAACTCTTAATTACTTAAGAAAACGCTTGACATGTTCATTAATAAACTCTTCCCTAAAAATAACAAAATTTGAAGGGGGGGAAAAAAATAAAACAAGGTGTTGTGTTATGAGAGTATCCTTCGCACAACTAATAATAAAAAAGGAATTGATGAGACATGTTGGATGGCAACAAAGTCAGCAATCTGTCTCAAATTTTGAGTTCATGAAAGAACTGAAGCCAATGCAACTAAAGTTTATTTAAGTTAGTTTATATAATATAAAAAGAAAAATAATAGAAAATACGTTTTGGACATTGGCCAACAATAGCTGTCTCGTGAACCTTCTCACACCAATACAAGAGAGCACAAATTTGGTGGTTAAGGACCACCTCATCCTTTGGTTCACATGGCTTTGTATATTTGTGGAAAATCCAATCCTCTGTTAGCTAATATGTTCCCTCTCCTCTCTCTCCTCTCTTTCTTTCTCTCTATGATTTTCTTCCTCTTCCCATGAAAATTTTCTCAGCCCCATAGAATCTCCATCCTCTTTCTCCTTTTTGTCTCATCCGTCCCACAATGCATTCTCGTGTGTGTTCTTGTGTGTCTAATCAGTTTCACACAATTATTGATCCCAAACTACCACAATATTCACATACCAAGCCAAAAACACAAATGCCATACGCATTTGAAAATATTATGATCAAATTCGAACCCATTATTCCAATTATTAGGGAACCCATTAGACAAAAGTAGAAAGGAAAAAAAAAAAAAAGATGACACTTTTACAGAGAAAGCCAAGCTCATGCATGATCATCATCTGAGCGATTATATGATGAAAATATATAATAGTAGTGTAAAATATTACCCCCTGACTTCACTTCTTACTTTTCTATGGAAATCTAATAATAATAGTAATAATTAAAAATGAAAATTACTTAAAATATTTGGGATTTAAAATTAAATTTCAGAGCCTTGCCTTTTGCCAAGTTTCTTAGCCCAAGGCACGAGGGAAGTAACGAACCGACCGACCAGCCCGAACTCGGGACTCTAATCGGCAATGGTCCAGGTCATGTCATTCTCGAAGATCCAGTGGCAGACTTCGATCCGGCCCGGACCCGAACCGAGTGAGAGGAATGCGCCGTGTGTGGGGCTCCACGCGGTGGTGTCCAGGTGACAGATGGCAACACCGTGGTTGATCTTGGCCTTGCTTTTCGGCTCCAGGAGGTCCGCTTCGTAGACCCGAACCTTGGGGACGGAGTGGCAGTAGTAGAGCAGGTAAGGGAAGAGGCTCTGGTGGCATGATACGGACTGGGTGACCCGGCCACCGTTTATCTTTGTGACCCGACCCACGACCACGTTCTTCTTCGACCCGTTCACGTTCTGGGTGTTTCGAACGACGACGTTGCGTCCCAGCACCGAGGTCGCGAAGTCGATCATGTCCTCGACGGAGCCGACGCAGCGCTTGGTCTCGCCGGGGCTCGGGGCTCTCTCGCAGTCGCTGAGGGAGCTCGATAGCATCTTGTCCATGGAGGAATTATCAGAGACTTTGAAAATCTGCTTCAGCTCGGAGATTTTCGAGGTGGAGAATGGTAATCTGGAGAGGATAGATCGGGGCAAGAATGACCTCTTGGGCATTTTATCTCTGATATCTGGGAAAGGCATCACCGTCCCTTGCTTCAGCATCGATTCGCGGAAGAATTTACCTGGCTCTACCCACCTTTTTACCAAATTGGCATTGATGGCTGAACCAGATTTCACCATGGAAGCACTGAGACGGGTGCTCACATTGGTGTAGCCTGTGAATGTGACTCCGTCTTTCGAGTAGTCCTTGAAGGTATTGTTCACTCCATAGCCTTTGAAGCCAATTTTATGCTCATTACCGTCTTTTCCGTAGCCGGTGAATTTGTCTGTCCCTTCGTTGAAGGATTTGCCGTAGTTCGAGAAATCGACTTCTGCTGCGTTTGCACCTTTAGCATATGATTGGAATGAATCGGCTCCCACATTGGCTTGGTCTCTGTAATTAGAGAAACTGTCAGTGGCTCCATTGCCGCCGGCGGCGTAGTTCTTGAAGTTATTGGTAGGGTTGTTCATATTCACACCGTAATTCTTGAATGTCTCATTCCCGGCATTTGCAGTCTCGCCGTAATTTGAGAACCCCGATCCGGCCACGTTCGAGTTGGTGCCGTAGCTTGAGAAATCGCTTACAGCCCCATTCCCGTGTTTTCCATAGTTGGAGAAAGATTGGTCCCCGGCATTTCCGTTCTCGGGAGTAGCTAGTGAACGATTGCTCTCTCCCGTTGGCATCATCAGAGTAGGAGGTGAACTGAAGATTGGGAACATTGGTGGAATCGGCATACTTCTTGAAATCGCCGACGCCGCCTGTTGCTGCGGTGCCGTAGGTGTGGAAGCTCTGGTCCACCACGTTGCCATCATTAGCGTAGCTTTGGAAATTGTCCTTGTGGCCGGTGGAGTCACGGCTATATCGCCGGAAATCGTTCACCGGAATGTTCTGCCCTTCGGAATATTTATTAAAAGAGTCCGTCCCACCGAGCCGATCCGTCCCATAGTTGGTGAAGTTCTTGTCCTGGTACACAGCAAAGTTCACATCCTTGGAGTGCTTCTCCAGACTTTGACCCAAATCGGGAAAACAGAGTAGGTTAGCCGCAGAGCAAAATTCCGGGAGGCGCGTGGAAAGAGCGTTGCCGGCGGCGAGTTTAGCAAACGCCGCCGAGTCCACAGCAGTCAATGGGGACGCCTTGGAGAGCAAGAACTCAGGCTTAGGCAAACCATTCCGGATCTCCTTATCCCAATACCGATTCAAGAATGCCTTAGGGGTGAACGGGTTTTGATCCCGAGCCACATGACCACCGGAGATGCTGAAGGCGCCGGCAAAGCCAACCTGCATTAACGAATAACAACACCCATGAACACAATGGGAAAGAAAAACAGAAAACAGCAGAGAAATCGAGAGAAGAAGAAGATGGAGAATGAAAAGGAATAGGGTTGGAGCCTACAGAGAAGGGTGAGAAGAGGATAAAGAGAAGGAAGAAGAAGCTCCTCATATGGCTGAGTGAGTTTAGCGTAATATTTTTTGTGTGAGTGTGAGAGAGAAGAGAGGATCGAGAATGTTGGTGGATTTGTTGGGTTGTATGTGCAAATTTATACTGTGAGGAGAGGGAAGCAAATTACGATTTCCAATGGCATTCGGCCTTCAATGTTCGATCTTCTTTCTCTCTGTGCTAAGTGCTTTGCATTAGTCTCTTTTTTGTCTTTTTTTCCCTTTTATTTTCTTTCATGCATAGATGAGAGGTAAAGAGTTATGACTCATCCAATATGGTGGTTTATGATCCATAAATATTATGGTCCGGCTCATGGTAAAGATAATATCTATATTGCAGTCAAAATTTAAAGAGTGTTTGAATAGAAACTAAATCATGATTTTAAAAGTATTTTTAAGAGGAGTTTGCCTTGTTTTACAGAAAAGTGCTTCTGGGTGCTTCCAAACATCCCCTTAATATTTTTAACTAATATAGTTGATAAGAAGTTAACTCATAACTTATAAAGTCATGAATTTAAATTTCGCTGCTCATATGAAAAGCCCCCGAGACTTAATTTCTCTCAATTTTATTTTAACAAAAAAATTAATGTTTTAATTTATGATTTTAAATAATAAATTTACGTTACAGATTTTATATTTATTGAAATAATAAAAAAACATTAAATGTATATAAAAGTGATTGAGTTGATTTATGAAGAGAGGAATAGAAAGAAAAGCAGAGGGGAGTGGGTAGTGAATAATGGAGGAGAAAATCAAAAAGGCAAAAAACTTGATGAGGGGATTGACTCATGGAAGGAAAAAGAAAGCAGAAAGAGAGAAAAAGGGATTGCTTTGTATTTATTATTTATAAATATAAATAGGCTCTCCATACCCTAATAACGCGTTTTCGCCTGTCATACATTCCTACTCTCAATACAAAAACTCCAATTTATTTCAAACAAAAAAAGATGTTAGCATTACGTACACCCTCTTCTTTTTCTTCACTCACTTTGTCCCCCTCACACATACCAACAAATAAAAATAGTAATTCAATATTTAATATAAGGGTTAAATAATTAATTTATAAATATTAAAAAATAAATAAGTTAATTTTTTATAATAAATAAATATTGATTTTCTCAAATTCTTTTTTAATGATGTGTGTTGGAGTTACCCTTTAATAAAAGCCTTCAGAATATTTCAAAAAAAAAATCATAAATTTAAGAGATAAAATGAATTAAAAACTTTTACATTGAATACCAAAATAAATCATGTGTGAAGTTCTTATATAATAAATACGAATTTACTAGAATTTTTTTTTTGGCCCGAACGATTTTACTAGAGTGATTCCTACAATAATCACACATCTACATAAATAAATAAATAAATTTCTTGGTCAAGACACAATTTCTTTCTCTGTTGTTTTTTTAATTAGTGTGAATTGGGTTTAGAAATCTATTGGGATCAAGGTGATGCCTACAAATTCAAATAATATTTATAGAAATACTTGCTAGTCACTTATTTTCATACTTTATAACTTACTAGGCTATATTTTTATTAACAGTTTAGACACATTCTATATATAGGGGTGTTTAAATAAAAACCAAACTATGGTTTTAAAAGTACTTTTATGATTTACGAAGTAAATATGTGGATGAATTTACCTTGTTTTACAAAAAAGTACTTCTAAAACCATGGTTTGGAGGTTGCCAAACGTCCCCATAATTATTATTTACAAATGATTTTGTCGCAAATATCTTTTCTTTGCAAAAATATCATAACCTTGAGACGACAAAAAGTACTTTCCAATTATTTAATCATTGCGCCAATCTAAAAATACCGCACGGTATAAACTAACAGATATAGTAAAAATGTTTTTGCATTAAAAATTAAAAATGTCCAGAAGGTTAGTAAAATGTCAGGGCGAAAGGGGTTGTTCCATAGCCATGGGCCCTACAAGGAATGAACCCCCATGACGCGTTTTCTGCTGCAAAATACATTTTCATTTTTCAAAATTAGGAAAACTAAAAGAATTTGAAATTTGCTTGAGTCATTTGCAAACTTATTATTTTTAGAGCGTATGGTTTATCTTTAATTATGTACATCCTATTTTTAATTATTATTTTTATTTTAATCATAAGATCTCATTTATAGTCTATAAATAATCTTATAATTAGGACAAGAAGAGATAGTATATATGAAAAGAAAAATATTTAAATAAAGGTGAAGATATAGCACGTAATTTACAGAGAGTTGCACTTGCTAAGTTTTTTAGCAAAAAAAAAAAAAAATCTAAGTTAGGACTTTTGAACAATTTCCTTAAAATTAAACTGGATTAATTTGTTAGATGCACTTACGAGGTTTTTTAGTCCAAAAAAAATAAGGACTTTTAAGCAACTTCCTTAAAATTAAACTGGATCAACCGGCTAGACCAGTGAATAAGTGAATTAGTCATCTATTCAATTAATAAGTTATGGATTTTGGATAAGGAAATAGAGTTAAATTTTACACTCCTTCGATTTTTAATATAAGATATATTTAACTAATTTGATTAAATTAAAAAAATTAGGTAAGTTAGTTAATTATAAGAAATATGAAATGTTTTTCCTAAAATATTATAATCATTTTTCTTAATATCCTCTCACCCTCTTCTATTTGATTATGATTGAGAAAATTGATAAATATAAAAAATAAGTATTATATTTAAGATCAAAAATTAATTTAATAATTAGGTCCTATATTAAGGATCAGAGGAATATTTTCTTTTCTCTTATTACTAAGCCTAAAAGAATGTTATTTCTCAGTTAAATTAAAAAAAAAAAGTTCATCATATTTGTATTTTAATAACTTCATTTTATTCTATTATGCATACTTTATACGTGAATATTCTATGGGAAAATCCTAATTAAATCCTGCTGAAATACTTAAAATTAAATTGAGGCCTACACTTTTAACAAATTCTTTATTAGGACATAAGATCTAATTAGGAATTGTTGAATATTGTTAAGTAACTATAATGCCTCTCTTTAGTTAAAAATAAAAATTGATTATTTTATCCCTCTAAAGTGGTTCATCATCTCTTATTATTAATATTTAGACAAAAAAATACAAATAATTTTTTAGTGTTTGAAATTTTGTAATATAACTAAAATCTTCAAAATATTTTCATAAAACATTTCAAATTATAATATATGTAATCTTTAAATAAATATTTTTAATATTTTTTTTTCAGGTTGTAAATATTTATTTTAAAATTTTAAAATATTTTAATTATAATAAAAATTTAATATTAAATCGTAATCATTTACGTTTTCAATTCGATCCAACATTGTTTAAATAAATAAAACTAACATAAATTACAAGAACTGAAAATAAAAAATATTTATAATTTTACTTATTTTTGTAATTTAACATGTTTTATTAAAATATTTTTAATAGTATAAGTTATATATACAAATTTCAAACATTGTAAAATTACTTATATGTTTTTTGGTCTAAAAAAAATCATAAGAGATGAGGAATTACTTGGGAGAGGTATATTAATCAAGTTTTCTTTTTAATTGAAGAGGGGCATTTTGGTGATTTAACAACATTCAAAAATCCCTAATTAGATCTCATGGCCTAATTAGGGATTTGCTAAAAGTGTAGGCCTAAGTCTGAATTTAGGTATTTCGGCTGGATTTAATTGGGATTCTCCCATATTCTATTTATTTATGAATTAATAATTAGAAAAATTGCGGATAAATTCTTGATTGAAAATTTAATTGGCAAATAGAACCTAAAGACTTTACATAACTTAACTTTTTTGGTGTGTAATTTATCTTTCTTTGTGTGTAATAATCTCTTTTTGTGTGATGTGCAACTCAATTTTTCGTTGTACAAATGAAATTCCCTTATGTGCAATTCATTTTCCCTATATCCAAATAATGTTTTGTGTAAATCATCTTTCTTTTATACAACTTACCTTCTTTTGTGTGCAACTAATCTTTCTTTATATAATTAATCATCTCGAAGACCATTTGCCAATTAGATTTGTAATGAGGGGATTTGTCCTCAATTTTTTCTTAATAATTTTTAATTAAATTTTGGCAAAAAATAATAATTAAAATTTTTTTAAAGTTATATAGGAAAATTTTTATATTTTTATTAAATTATATTATTTTAATTATGATTGTACTAGTTGCCTCCCAATCACAGTTATACTATTAATTCTTGAATTACTTTCTCTCCATCAATTTAGTGAGCATCAAGGACTTGAAAACCTGGATGACCAGCACACTTGAGGAAAATAATAATAATAATAAGAACAATAACAACAACAACTTCACAATAGCCTAAATTATCATTTACTGTTTCTCCAAATGATTTTATAAAATGAATGATAAAATGGTGACAGCGCAACTCATTTTACTTACCTAATTAGACGCGCAAAAAAAAAAAAAGTATTGTTCAATTACATAAATATTATGCCAATCTAGGAATCTCGTACGCTTAAAAAAGTTTATATATTTATGATAATGTAGTGTGTCAACTTGGATACCAGTTAATTTCTTATTGTCTAGATCAATCAAGGTAGCATGTTCGTTATAATTAACAAAGAAAAATCAACATCTTCATGACAATAAATACGCTATCACTTGTCAAACCTTCATGGCAAGTAATTTCCAATTATGTGAATTCAGGAAAATGACCAAATAAAAAAATTATTAAAATATATTTTGGAGTTAAAATGTAAATTTATTCTGAAAGTTTTAACTCAGGAACGTAGGGCATCTAAAAACTCTTTTTTAAATACAAATTTTGCCCAAAAAGTTTAAAATAATATTCCTCCGATTCTTAATATAGAACCTAATTGTTGAGTTGTTTTAGTTCCAAATAAAAGATCTATTTTTTATGTTTATCAATTTTCTCTAAATTACCCATACGAATGTTCTCTCAATCATAATCAAATAAAAATGGGAGAGGAGATATTAAGAAAGATAATTATAGTGTTTTAGGAAAAACATGTTATATTTCTTATAATTAACTAATTTATCTAACTTCCTTAATCTAATTAAATTAATTAAATAGATCTCATATTAAGAATAGAAGGAGTAACAATTTTACTC